AATTTTAATTGTTCTAAATTGTCGTTTTTTTGAGGGAGGGAGAGGAAGGTGTTGATGCGGGTGAGGGAGGAGGAGTAATCAGAATAATTCCACAAATACCCAAATTGCCAGACACAATTATTAAGTATTCGCCAGAGAGTAGAAAAATTTTGGCCAATAAAATTCTTATTCAGAATTAGCAGTCCAAAAGGGAAAAGATTAACTAATAAAGTTCAAGGGATAATTTTCCCTGCTATCATCCTACTTTTAAACTTGGTTTTTTTTTGCCTGCTTTGACGGGTCAGAATTTGTTGCTCTTGCTCTAACTGTAAATTTAACCCCATACTTTCCACCAAAAAAGCGTTGTTTATTTCCTTGTTAATTAACCCATATTCTCGGGTGGTGGTTTGCTTGCTTAACTTTCCCAAACGAAAATTAGCCCTATTGAACAAATAGATAATAATATTAATAAAAATTAACCAAAAAATTGTGAAAATAATCATTCCTGGTCCGACCTTCCATTCAGAGTGTCAAGCACTTCAAAATATTAAACCCAGATTAAAAGTCCCTTTATAAGCTTGGCATACTAAATTGACTCAATATTCCCCCACCAAATTGCTTTCAATTTCAACTAAACTATTAATTTCTTCCTTTCTTTTTAATTTTTCGGTTAAGGACAACCGCCGAAAACAGTTCAATAAACGATTTTTGCTGTAATCGCTAACTATAATTGTTAGCCGCTCCACTTCCAAAGTAGAAAAATAAGTAAATAAGGAAAAAAGAGCCACCCAGGCCAGACCTAGGACAACGAACTGTCCTTTATTTAAAAATCAGGATTTGACTTGCAGATAAGAGGGCAATAAAAGAGCGTAATTTTCAATGGTTTCTTTTTGGGCAAAAAGATTTCAACCAATCGCCATTAATCCATCAGAAAGAATAGTGGTTATGGTGGCTAAAATTAAGCATTTGACAAGCCGATATTTAAACTTACTAAATTGGATTTTGGTGGGCATTTATAATATAATTTTACCCTGCCAATTTTTCAAATATTCGGGTGCTAGAAGAAATTTTTTCTAATAATTCAAACCTTCAGTCTCAATTATTAGACTCACCAGCCGCAAATGAGGATTTTTGCGGCTTAAAGAAGATTTCAGAATAAGTCATTATTGCCGCCTCTTGCCTCGGCGGCGTGGCATCTGGTATCGACAGACCAGACAACTGTTCCCGCTCACTTTTTCGACTGAAAATAATTAGGAGTAATTGGGATTAGGAAACTAACCACTTCTGACTTTTAAGAATAAAATAATCAGGGATTATTTATTTCCTTACAACTTTTTTCTAAGATTTATCATCAATTTTCTCTATTTTCAAAGATTATTGTTGCTTTCTATGTAGGCTTTTAACTCTTTAGTTTCATTGTCGTAATGTTCTTTTTGAGTCTCGTTTTGGCAATCACGAGAAATCTGCTCCATCATTTTCTTGTAGTCCTCCAAAAAGACGCTTATTTCCCCTTTCATTTTGGTTATTTCGGCATTTGAAATATTATCGGCTATAATTCCGGCCGTAAGACCTGTTGCACCTCCACCTATACCTCCTGCTATGGCTCCTACCGTGGCAGCCGCCGGAGTAAATGCCAATGACAAACCAAATGTATATGGAGAAAGAAGAACCATCAAACCAGCTCCCGCTGCGGCTCCACCGGCAGCACCAGTTCCAGCTCCACTAACAGTTCCAATAATTTTTCCTTTATTGCTTTTCTCCACTAAGAGCCTTTGGGGGCATATTTCAGTATCATGTTCAATAGTAATAGCACCCCCGCTCTCTTTTTTTTCCAATGCTTGTTTGGCCACAAAAAAAATTGTCTTTTGAATCTAATTTTAATTTTTGGTTTAACTCTTTAACGATATCCAGCGTAATTATTTCGTCAT